GTAGTGTCAACAGCTAGTTGTGATTTTTAACTTTTGTGCCATTTTTTATAGAAAAAAAGCTTTTTTCATTAGTGGTACACAGAGTTACGAAAAATTTAGAAAGGGTATGCAAAAGTAAAAAGTTTGGGAAACACTGATGTAGAAGGTCAATACAGGTCTTCAGCTGATAAAGTACCTAAGTACTGTCTAAAAATGAGTCAAGACCTCTACCCACCTGCAGTATCACGCTCCCTTCTCCCCACACTAAATTTTTTTCTTACAGAACAATCCAGAAAGAAAGAATATTTTAATGAAAAAAATTAATAAAATAAAATAAACAACAAGGGCGTGTTTTCTTTCACTTGCTTGTACCCCTTCCCTCACACGCATTCAAAATGTTCTACCCTCGATGCAGGGTCTCATTCTTGACGAAAGACGTACTTTTTAATTGTGGATATTTTCCTAAGATAAAAAAATTGTTCCAACCAACTAGTGATACTAGGTATTAAGGACTTTTAAGGACCGTGAATCAAAATTAAGTACTTTTAAGGGCCCTTAATTTTCAAAATAAAAACTAAGCAGTTTTTAAGGACTTTTAAGGAGCGTGGGAACCCTGTTCAAGTATAAATCCACTATATGCACAGTCTTAAAAAATTTCAACACCTTTAATGCTTAAAGAGTGGATCCGCAATCAATAAAGTATTTATAAAAAATGCATATTATATCTTAAACAATTAGAATCATAACTATTGAAGGACTAATTTAGTAATCTCTCAAGATGTTTTTAATAAGTGGCTGTTTTATCTCATTTTATTTTATTTTATCAAAGTCAATGAATAACCTTTTCAAAGAACGGGTATGAGGAAAATTTATTCTTGTCTATATGTCCTTTTACTTTTGAGTTCTGTTCAGAAGGCAAGAGAACTTCTAATTCATGGTGAACTTTCTTTAGTGCATCTTACAAATCAAAAAGAAAAATATTGGGTATAGATAGTGACACTGGGATGTCAGATTATAAATAGTTGTCATACAGATCAAATTATTTTTTGTTAAACAATCATAATCTTTAGAGTAACAAAGAAAAAAAAATCTTTTTTTAAGAAGTAAAATGCTATTACAGGGTGCATAGCCAACTTTTCAACAAAAAATAAACACCTTTTAAGTACTTTTTAAGGACTATATACATTAACAAAAGCAAAATAATTTTCAAAGACTTTGCATCATAATGATAAAATAACTAGTTTCTGACAAAGAACTCTTTCTCTTAAATAAATTAGCCACCATCAAAAGATAAAAAATTTCCGGTTTGATTTCAGAAGGAGGAAAATGAAGCCGGAAATTGAGAATCTCTTGCGAAATGCAGTCAAGTTGCACATAATAGTGCAAGAATAATTCCCACTGAATCAAGCTTAGTATATGCACATGAGGACTCGCAAGCATTTCATCAAACATGTAAAATGATTGGCGCTTTCATAAGCCACAGAATGCCGAAATGCATTGTGTTTGAATGAATTGTGAAAACGTTGAATAGAACAATGTGAAAGCAGCTTTTTGCATAATACGTGGAGAAAATCAACACGGTAATGAAAAAAAAATTCTCATTTTCGAAAAGAGAAAATTCAGCACTTTTTAAAAACACTCAATAAAAAAAAGCTGCTTTAAGGGCTTTTAAGAAACGAAAATAAGCTCCTTTAAGCACTTATTAAAAATTCTACACACCCTGTATTACACTAAAATACTAATTGATTTTTCTCTACAGTCTCTCAGCATAAATAAACTGCATTATTCAATACTATGAGATCAGTACGGTTCTTTACTTTAGTGGTTGAGTAGAGACATAAGATTGGAATGGTAAAAAGACTTTAGTGACAGAGAGGGTTGACATACAGTCGTATGTCAAGGATTAATATGTAACAATTAAGCAAATTAGCAAAGGATTAATATGCAACAAAAAGGTTCAGAAAAATACGAACAGAAAACAAAGATATTTTCTTAACTGAAACATATTCCAGCAATAATTTATAAATTTTTATTGAAATACATAAAATAACAAACCTTTCATTTTTTCTTTAATCAAATTACTATTTACACCATTTTCTGAACATTGAGCAATATGATTAGCAATTTTAGTGACATGACCCATGTAACCTTTCCTATGTTTTCCAGGAGAACACCTAGGAGAGTAAAATTTAATAAATGACTTAATAGAAAAATAACCTAATTTTACTTTACACACTAATTCTAATTAAAAAAATTTCTCAACAGACAATTATTGTCCAATTTCAATAAATAAATGGGAAAAATAACATATTTCACAGATAGGCAATTTAAATCATTGAAATACAATGAAAAGTTCCATAGCCAGCAAGCCTAGATAATAGATCTTTAACATGCCCATAATCAGGTAGTGCACACTAATAAAAATAATTTCTTCCTATTGTTGAAAGTTTTTCCTATATACATTAACAAAATGCAAAATAATTTTTAAAGACTACATGATCATGATAAAATAACTAGTTTCTCACAAAGAACTCTTTCCTTGATTACATTAGCCATTATAAAAACAATTTAAACACAACTCTAAATTAATAATTACTTTAATTATGTAAAAAATATTTAATTCAAAATTGTAATTAATTTAACTGCTTAAAAAGGTTATCGAATGTATTTTTTCAGATTTAAATAAAATTATTTTATAAAAGCATATTCAACAAAGCATTTACAAGATTAATATTATTGATTAAAATTTGTTGGTTGATAAGTTGAACATTTTCTTTAAAGACTAATTTTTCTTCCTCTTTTTTTTACTTGATGGGAAGATTTTGCAGAGATATTTAGATAAAAATATTAAGAAACAAGCTACAAATTCAAAAAATAAATCAATCTCATTTAAAAAAAAAATAAATAAATAAACAAGCAGAGCTGTTAACATTTGAACAACAGTAAGAGAAGTGTTTACAAAAATTAAGAGGAGCATTTCGTGCATTTCGGGAAGCACTTTTTAAACTTAAACAAAATAATTAAATAGCAAAATAAAGTTGAATATAATTAATAAAAATTTAGCTTTTCAATACATTAATTTAGTAATAGAAAACCTATCAAATAAAAGCAAATTTGAACAAAACTGATAAGAAATAAAAGAAAAATAATTAATAGTTAAAAAACCAGATTAATTACATTTTAAAATATTAAATGAAATTAAAGTTTATTAAAAGTTATATGAAAATAATATTAAATTAATGAAAATAATATTAAATGAAAATAAACAATAACTCTGTTACCACCATCTAATGCTGGACTGAATTCGATGATAAAATTCTCATATCTGAATTGTTTTGATTAAAACAGAAATAGTTAGGGGCAAATTGAGCGAATGTTCCAACCCTGTATATAATTTCGTGTTCTAATATTTATAACACCATAAAATATAAACTGCTTTTCATTGTTACCCTCAATGACAATTTAATAAGCAACAATTGAATAACTAAATTAAATTTGAACTACATATAAGTTTTAAATACAATCCCATCTGGGTTTTTATACAAAATCTATCGTGAGCTAATACCTTTGAAAAAATATTTCATGTTTAGTGCAGCTCATATAAGTAATCTTACTTGGAAATGAGTGAAAGAATGGTTAACTTACTTTTCACTATCATCTTGGAAGCACTCTAAAACTTTCACAGTTATTTTGTATTGCAGGAATAACTGTAAAAAAATTAGCAATTAGAAGTGAGGATGAAAAGCAAATGTGTGATTTAATTTTATGTAAAATCTTTGTTTAAAATATATCCCATTAAATTCAGCATAAATATTAAAAGGTAGTTGTCAGTAAGCTTAGAATTTCCAAACATGCCCATAAATACAGTCAATTCGCTATAACTCGAAATACGATAACTCGATTTTTTTTATGAGGTCCCGACCCTTTTATCTTCTGCTTATTAACTGCTTCAATTTTATGTTAATTATTCTCGATTACTCGAATTTTACTCCCTTTAACTCAATTTTTTTAAAAAGATTACTGGATCTTTTAAAGCAAGAAAAAAAACCTAAGAGCTTACATCTCGCCCCTTCCTTTGCAACACGAGCAAAATAGACTACACACAATAGACTCAACTGGTCAGAACAAGTTTAATCAGAGTGAGAGAAAGGGATTAGTAACACCTGTGGCCCCAGTGGGGAATGATAAATTTGTTTTCTGGACAGAACAAGTTTTCAGTGTGAGATAAAGGGTGTTTCTTGCAGTTTCTCCCGCCAAACACAACAGCAAAGTTGCAGCTGATGGACCAGGGTATCAAAGTGCTTCAAACAGTCTTATCGTAAAAGGCTTGTCAGAAAAATGATAAACGATATTGAAAACAATATTTCTTTCAAAGTTGATGTACTTGAAGCCATGAGGCTGCTTTCCAGTGCTTGGAATAATGATGTAAGCGAAACAACAATAAGAAACTGTTTCCGGAAGTGTGGATTTTTTTAAAGAAACACAGAGTGAACCTGTGATAGAAGAGCTTCAAGATGAGGAAGTAATTGAGAACTCCGATGAAAACATTGCTGTTTGTGGTGATTTTTCCGACGAAGAATTTATACAGATCACAGAAGAAAATGATGAAAGTGCTGCTAAGGAAGAAGGTTTAGAAACAATAGTCCCAAACATACTTGAAGCGCGTGTACTACCAATTACCCATCTAACAATAAATGCATTTCCCTCATTTTTAAATTTAATTTAGCATATTTTTTAACGGTTTGAACTTGAATAGAAACAGAAAATTATAATGGTTTTAAGTAAAACACGAAGGGGACAAAAAGTTGAGAACACCTGAGCTTTTTCACAATGAGAGTAGACAGGAGATAATTTTACAAAAATAATTTTATCCATAAAAATGAAAGAGCTATATGGATACATTTTTATGCAAAAGCAATCTCTAACCCAAAAAGGAGAGTAAAATTTTATATTTCCTATAAAAAAGAAAAATATTTAGAGTATCAGTCTCTATCAGTAGTTACAAAGCATGCTAAGTCAGGGTTGACACTCAAATCTGGAAAAAATTCCCTGTGTTTTCCCTGTACATTCTATACAAAATATATTAAGAGGGAACAACAATGAGGAACCTGCATGCTTTTTTTTATGTTTAAAAATGAAACACCATGCCACTTTATAAAGATAGACACCAATTTCAGACCGGTGCGATAACTAGTTATTTTGTTATAAATAGTTAAAATCGCTCGATTAGCTGCGACCACTAAATCGCTGCTAGGTTTCCCATCCACTCTGAGGAAGTTACAGTATAGTACAACCTCTTGAAGTTCTTCAAAAGTTTCTAGAGAGTCGAGAAGGAATTGATAATTCTATGTTAGTGCACCTGCAGAAAATTGAAGATTTACTGTTTCTAGAGACTCAAAAGGGATTACTTCAACATAAAGTGACGGATTACTTCAAAAAAACTTAAAATGTAGTACAAATAATAAAGTAAGTTATTATAATATACTTTATAGCTTTTCCTTAAATATTGTAAGCATTTAGAAGATTTGTAATAAGCATGAATTATGCAATCCGACAATATTTTGAAAGTCCAAAACCGAAACTAACTGCTAGTCGAACTTCCGATATGTCGACATTTTTCGTCAGTCCTTTCAGATTCGAGTTATCACGAATTCACTGTATAAGGATTTGATTATTTACTTTTAACATACTTGATTCGTGAGTATTCAATTGTTTATCCCACAATGTTTTCTCATGAGTTATTTTTTTTTGTTTTTTCGGTCCAATTAACATAATTTTAAATATATTTTTAATAAGATATTAAATGAGAATTTCAAAATTTGAATAATCATTTTTTAACATACTATAATAGCGACTTTTCCATTGTAAATCAACATTATTTTACGATAATTTTCTTCATTACTGATTAAAGTTATCTTTTTTCGTTCATATCTAAACCGTTTTTAAGATTTAGATATTTAAAATACGATATTTTTACTACCAATGAATTTTGGATTGTCTGATTTGTTAGGATATACGTGGGTTTTTAGATTACTTTTTTGGCAGTTATTACAACTATTTTCAACGTGGTTATTAAAATCTTGATGATTTTAATATGACATTATCATAATACACAAACTTTTCAAAATGTAAAGACTTGAGAATATAGAGTCTGATTCAGTTTCTTACCCTCTGCTCTTTTTAAGGTTTAGAATGGACTGTGTGCAGTAATCCATGATTCACAGTTTCATAAAATGATATTAAGTTTATTTTGATTTGATGAGTTCTTATAAGGTAAATTTTTGTTAAAACCTAAGGATCTCAAAGGGCAACTTTTAAGGGTGGTACAATGTGGTTTAAGTGGCTTTCAGAGCTGTGTGACACTATACCAAAATATCATTTTATTCATCTTAAAAGTTATTTTAATCAATCAATTTGCATCAATAATAATAAAAAATTAATTTGATACAAAAATTTATAAATCTTTTATTCTGCTTAATGTGTCAAATTTAAGGAACAATTTTGATATAATGAAAAGAAATATTATTATTATTTTTAGCATTAAAATAGTATAAAAAAGTAAACAACTTCTATACTAGTATAAATATTTAATATTAACCATTTAGGAATTGTTTTATTTCACAGGGTGCGTAGCCAAATCTTTGGATCAATAGTAAGCACTTTTTAAAAACTTTTCAAGCACTTTACAAAAATTTTCAAGCGCTCAAAAAATTCATATTCAATCAATGATATTATTGAAAAATAAAGAGTTTTAGCGTTAAAAAAAAACCAAAAAAGAAACGGACGTAAATCAAAACAATCAGTACTTTCCCACATCACCGAGTGAATTCAACTTGACCCTGAACTCAGAACAAAAGTACCCTTACCCCCTACGTCTAAAAAGTGTTAGAAGTAATATAAAATAAATAAGAATAAAATTAAATTAAATTAAAAAGAAAAACATTTCATAAGGATCTGATATTCTCTATCCGAATTGGAGCACTCGGGTTTCGGTTTTAAGTGTGCGCGCGTGCGCAAGTCATAACGTGTGGGTACGACATGAAGTCGGCGTGAATGATTACGTAGCAAACACCCCATTTTACGTGAAATGCATGGGATCCACCAGATATCACTGAAGAAAAAAAAAATATTTGTGGAAAAAAGCACTTTTTAAAAACACCAGCTGAAAAAAGCACCTTTAAAAGCTTTTAAAAACGAAATCCCCAAAAAAGCACCTTTAAGTACTTTTTACAAACGCTACGCACCCTGTTTCATTATATCTTACAGTAATAATTTTCAGCACAATGATATGCATTACGATTATGATTTTAAAAATGCTAGCATGAACCATGGCTTTCTTACTAGTATTTTTTAGCACTAGCAAATTTCGCGACTGATTATAAAAAATTAAATCATGTCCTGCTAACAAGTGTAAAACATAACAATATAAAATAAATTTCAAGTTAACGTAAGAAAAATATTCCTTTCAATTGAAAAGTAATATTCCACTCATTTAATTATTAAATAAATAGTTTAAAATAATTTATAATACTAATTACAGTACCAATTACCCATCTAACAATAAATGCATTTCCCTCATTTTTAAATTTAATTTAGCATATTTTTTAACAGTTTGAACTTGAATAGAAACAGAAAATTATAATGGTTTTAAATAAAACACGAAGGGGACAAAAAGTTAAGAACACCTGAGCTTTTTCACAATGAGAGTAGACAGGAGATAATTTTACAAAAATAATTTTATCCATAAAAATGAAAGAGCTATATGGATACATTTTTATGCAAAAACAATCTCTAACCCAAAAAGGAGAGTAAAATTTTATATTTCCTAAAAAAAAAAAAAAATATTTAGAGTATCAGTCTCTATCAGTAGTTACAAAGCATGCTAAGTCAGGGTTGACACTCAAATCTGGAAAAAATTCCCTGCGTTTTCCCTGTACATTCTATACACAATATATTAAGAGGGAACAACAATGAGGAACCTGCATGCCTTTTTTTATGTTTAAAAATGAAACATCATGCCACCTTATAAAGATAGACACCAATTTCAGACCGGTGCGATAACTAGTTATTTTGTTATAAATAGTTAAAATCGCTCGATTAGCTTCGCCCCCTAAATCGCTGCTAGGTTTCCCATCCACTCTGATGACGTTACAGTATAGTACAACCACGACTCCTATCATGTGAAACGGTGAAAGCATATGCCGCGCCAAGTATAAATTTTGAAAAATGGCTCCAAGAAAAAACTACAAGTGTTGCATTGTACCATGTGCAATAGTTCTATGTTAAACATGCCAAATAAATAATTTTTTAGTGTACCAAAAGAAGAAAAACAACAAATTTGGCGCAAAGCCAGCAAACGCGATGAAAAAATACTCGCAAATTGTCTGCAACTACTGCATTATACTGTTGCTACAACCAATTTACAGTAACTTGCTTAATTATAATTTAATTCTATACGATTGTTTTTCGGATTGATAAGCTTCTCTGAATGAATAATTCATTATACTGAATTAAAATGTTTATGATATGCTGTTCAGATCACTTTCTTTTTTTTTCTTTAAAATGAAAGGATTTTATTCTGAGAGAGCAGTTGTGTACAGGCTCTTTTTTTTTAAAGTTAAAAAATAATTTTATTTGGAAGAAAAAATTATCAAAATTAAAATAAAAAAAAGGAGGGTTTAGCATTATTTAAATTTCTTCAAACAAAAAAAAAAAANAAAAAAAAAAAAAAAAAAAAAAAAAAAAAAAAAAAAAAAACATAAATAAATAATTCAAGAAAATATTTTAGAAGTTAATAATAAAGAGAATTTTTTTCAAAAAATTTACCTAAATTCCAGGTCATATACCATTTATTCCATTCCCTCTAATTGGGATCAACTCATCAAATAAAAACTGTCAAAACTGTTCAGACTTTTATATATAGACAAATATAAATAAAAATGAATCAGTATAAATAAAGAAAAATGTATTTATTTCAAAGGTTATTGAAAAAAAAGTAGTTTTGACATTTATTTTTTCATTCCTCAATTTTATTTCATTATGCTGAAGGGTTTTGAGTTAAAAAATAATTAACTTTATCTAGAAGAAAAAATTATGAAAGTTAAAATAAAAAATGATAGGTGTTTAGCATTATTTACATTTATTCAAAAAAATTAAAGAAAATATTTTCGAAGTTATTAATAAAAGAGAATTTTTTTAAAAATTTTATTTACCTAAAAACTTATAATTCCAGGTCATATACCATTCATTCCATTCCCTCTAATTGGGATCAACTCATCAAATAAAAAACTTTCAAAACAGTTCAGACTTTTATACAGTATGGAACCGATTATCCGGAACGGTCGGGACCATCGCTATTCCGGATAACTGATTTTTCCGGTTTTCTGAATCGCTACAAAAAGTCGTTTTTTTTATTGTTAAACCCAACTAAAAAAAAAAAATTTGGAAATAATCTTAAAAATAAGAAAAAACTATGAAGTAATACACTAATGATTATTTCCATCTTTAAAAAAAGAAAGAAAAATCGTAAAATCTTATGAGATTTTTCATTATGAGAAAAAATTTTTTTTTCAAAAATGGCGAGAAAATTTATCGAATTTCGTTCCGGTTAGTTGATTTTACGGTTTTCTGATTTCCGGATAACGGGTTCTGTACTGTATATGGACAAATATAAATAAAAATGAATCAGTATAAATAAAAATGAATCAGAATAAATAAAGAAAAATGAATTTATTTCAAAAGTTGTTGAAAAAAAAGTAGTTTCGACATTTATTTCTTTTATTCCTCAATTTTACTTCATAATACTGAAAGGTGCTCACAAAAATTTTCTCAAGGGGGAGGATGCAACTGATATACACTACATATATATTTAAACTATATATACATAATATAAGCATGAAAGAAAAACAATTTTTAAAAAATGCGGTTCAAACTAACACTTTTAGCCTGTGCAACACATTTTTTGATAGGAAGCTTTGGTTTAACTCCGTTCGCTGAGTTACTATACCTTGACGTCATAGCAAACCACGCCTCATTTTGTGTCACGTGAAGTTAGTTTCGTTTTGGGCTAATTTTAAGTTAAGTTTTTTTTAATATTGGGGTCAGTTTTTTAAATTCTGAATTGATTTTAGGGAGTTTTAAGATATAGACTATTTAAAATAATCAACATTCTGCGATTATCCGAAGCACGCAGGTTCCTCATTACTCTGCTCGTGTGAGCTACATTGGGCTAACTATATTTATTAGATTTATTTGCAGGGAAAATGGCAGAACAGACTTAAATAATGCTATAGTAAATGAAATATTGTAGTTTAGTATATCTGAAATATCATGGTAAAATATCCCATAGATTATGCTTTTAGTGGTCACCATTTTTTAAAGAAAAATTCAAAAATCCCTGCATTTTCCCTTCTATTTTAGGCGATTTTTAAATTTCCTGTATTTTCCAGAATTTCCCTGTGGAGTGTAAGTTTATGAAGATCATTATTAAATAAGATTTGAAAATATATGCAAAAATATTTTTTCAGATTACATAGTTTAAAAACCTAAAATGGCAGTTATATGAAATTTTTTCAGATAAATATTAAAATAGTTTAATTATTATTTTAATAATTCAGCCAATAATTTGAGACTACAACAATGCTATTAAAAATTTGGAAATTTGGAAGAAAAAATACTCAATACCCATACAAGTTATATCTTTTCTATTGCATGAAATTTAATAAATACTTTACAACAGTAGATGTAATCTTATCAAACAATATATTTCAAACAAAAATTAAAATAAATACCTGATCTAGCAGAGGATGAACTTTATTACTTTCCTTATCAACAGTTGGGGCATTAATAAGTATCCTACCTATTGCTTGTTCGACTTGTGAATGCAAAAAGTTATTCCAAGGATAATTAAAAAACATGTCCTGAAAATAAATACACATGAAAATAAAGACATGCCAAACAAAGTTCAACAAAATTTCAAACCAAGAATTGTAGTAGAAAGAAAGTTCTAGTGAAGTAAATTCAAATCAATTAAAAATGATGAATATGCTAAATAAGCAAATAGAAGCTTATTCACACTCATCCCATGTAACTTTAGATAAATGAAGCTTATTATATGCAGTATTAGAAATAAGTAAAAGTTGTGTAAATACTTTTATTTATTTTTTGCTTCGTTGTGATAGATTATGCTTGCACAAATTATAAAAAATAAAATTAAAAAAAAGATTAAAAAAAGAACCTTAATGTAAACTTAAGATTTCTGAAATTTCGTGTAATAACATAAGGTAAATGTTATTTTACTTAAGAAATTTCATGTTTTTTGATTTTAAAAATTTAGCGTAAGATTGAAAATTCTTTAAAATATTTTTGAGGTTATAAAATTTTCATCAACAGTAGTACATATTCTTGAACAAAAATTTTTATTTACATACAATCAAACAGTTTCGATTGTATGTAAATAAAAATTTGCAGGACTGCCAATTTTCTTTGTTTAGGGGGAAAATTTCTTTACCTTATGATTCTGTACTTGAAAAATTTGACTTAAAGTTATTTTCCACACCACTTCATGTAAATTATTCAAAACTTCATAGGAAAAGCAACTTTGTTTATATGGTGAGACTTTTAAAATGTATGCAAAATTACCAACAATTTTGCATACATTTTAAAAGTCAATTCAAAAGTCAAATTGAGTGTTACACAATAATTTCAATTGTGTAAGACTCAATATACTGCAAAAAGTGTAGGAGTTGACAATCCTGAATTTCAGACATTCTAAAACAAGTTTGGTTATACTAAAATTAAACTCCTCTTATCATAATTTACTCATTCACAATAGTATTTCATTAGTGTTGCAATCCTAAATTTCAGACATTCTAAAACAAGTTTGGCTATCATGTGAAACGGTGAAAGCATATGCCGCTCCAAGTATAAATTTTAAAAATTGNTTTACTCATTCACAATAGTATTTCATTAGTGTTGCAATCCTGAATTTCAGACATTCTAAAACAAGTTTGGTTATACTAAAATTAAACTCCTCTTATCATAATTTACTCATTCACAATAGTATTTCATTAGTGTTGCAGTTTTTGTATCTGAGACTTCACAGAAAGTAGTTTGGCAGATCTAAAAATCTGTATACTAAATTATATCAAAACTGGAAGTGTTTAGGTGGAGACTAATGCTCCATTTGACATGAAATGAACCATAATTAAATTAAATAACAGTATATGTTTACAAAAAACATAACAAAATCTAACATAACAAAAAATAAAAGTTTTATAATATAAATCTCTTTTAAGATCAATTTTAACATATGCCTGTGAAACCTGGACCATATCTTGTATAGATGAGGCTATGTTGGGTACCTTTGAGAGAAAGATCTTGAGAAGTATTTTTGGGGGAATTCAAAAACATGGTGAGTAGCTTAGAAGATCAAATCTAGAGCTTTATCACTCATATAATGAACCTGACATTATTAACTTTATTAAACGACAAAGAATAAAAAAGGGCAGGCCACGTTATCAGAATGGACGAAAACCGTACCACAAAAAGTTATTAATGCCAGACCAGTTGGCACACGAAAAAGGGGCAGGTCAAATTTGAGATGGATAGATTGCTTAGAAAAAGACCTGTTGGTCTTAAAATCTAGAAAATACTAGCAGGAAAAAGGTTAGCTTGGAAAAAACTTCTTGAGAAGGCCAAGGCCCACCCTGGGCTGTGAGCCATTGATGATGATGGTTTGTTTACAAACACCAATAAATAGAAAAATTACCAGTATAACAAGCTTTGATTTTACCATAAATGTATACACATAATACAAATAACATTATTTTAAATCAAAAATAAGGTTTTTACATATTCAGGCGCTTCAAGTCAAAAGAACACTTTTGATTTACCTTCTATTTTCTTAAAATAACCAAAACACAGCAAAAAATTTCATTTAATGAGAAAAGTGAATTCAAATTAAGTAAATAAACAAGATTTTTTAAAAAAAAAAAAGAAAAAAAAAAGTAGTTTTGAGATTTGTATACCAGTTAGATATTATGATTTTGCAGTATTTTCTAATCTTAACAAGAAATCAGATACCTAATTTAGTTTAATTCAATGTAAAATAAACTTCATACTGTTTTTAACACCATAAACATCACAAAATTGCAATTTAAAACATGATTAAGATTTGGGAAATCATAATAAAAAAGTTTGAAACAGTGGCAAATACACTATTTTCTCTTGTTTCTGTGAAGTTATGTTGTGTAAAAGGAGTAATGAGTAAGCAATTAAGATGAGAATGACTGGAAGGTAATGCTTTCATTCTTTGTAATTGAAATTTTGTCAGTTATTGAAAAGAAAAGAAAAAAAAATGCAAAATAAAAAAAGTTTGCAATTGCAGAAAAAAAAGTTTCTGCAAAAAGATTTGAAATACTTAATTAAAAAAATCTAAAACTTCAATATTTTCTTTGGAATTTTGTATTCAGACTCTGATATGAAAAATCACATCATTTAAAAATGGTTTTTCGGTATAATAAGTTAAATAATTAAGTAATATACCTTTGTGGTTCTTGTAAAAGGCAAATATTTTGACTGAAAAAAATAAAAACTACTATTCTATTCCCTGCTCAAGAAATGAGAAAAATAAATAGAAAAAAATTAAGTTTCAAATAAATTACTCAGTTCCCATTACATATCAGTATTTAATCTAAAAAAGCATTAAAAATTGAGATTTTAATATTGTTTCAGTTTTAATGTGGTGGGTAGTGAAACAGAAAGATGAGAAAGAAAAAAGATTTAAAAATAAATGAATGTAAGATTAAATATTATGCTTACCATAAGAACGATGATTGTTTTAAGTTCAGTCAATTTCACATTTACAGAATGATTGTTTGTGCCAAGTAATGCAGTGATCAAATGAGCGATTTCTAAACGACAGTTTCCAAGAGGTGGGTCTAAACAACCGATAGTTAATTTTATGGCAGGCTTCTAAAAATGAAAAATCATAACTTATAGCAAACATTATTGAAGGACAAACAAAATGAGAACTAAATCTCATACATAGTTGAGAAAAATGCACAGAAAATGTGTCTCAAAAAGTATGTTAGGTAAAACAAAAATAATAACTTGAATAAAAACTATATTACAAAGAAAATATCAAACAAAATTTCAATTTTAATCATGAAGGATCAGTTAATATTCATAGAAAATGTTTCACATCGCAATTTTTTTTTTTATACAACATAAATGAAAATTATCAAACATACTCTGATGAACAATAACTAAAAGATTTTTTTAAAGAAAGCAAAGCAGCCACAAGTTTTTCTCTTTCTAACATTTAAAATGTCTACGTTATAATGCTGATTAAAAAAATCTGGCTTTTGGCAAACTGTAGATGTCATTTGCAGGTTAATTAGAGTAAGCTTAACAGGCGCTAAGTGAGCTACAAGGCGGACTTTCCAATTAGCTTATATATGCTATATAGAACCCTATATTTTCTAGAATTTAACAAAAGCAAAAATTTCTTTAGATTGCCTATATATATATATATATATATATATACCAAGATTTTTTATTTGGTTATTCAGAATGGAAAATAGAAAGGGCATGATTTTCTACATTGGGGCATGATGGGCACATTTTTTCCAAGAATAATTAAACCAATATAATTCGGCAATCAGAATTTTCAGAGAAGTAGTTTAAAACTAGACATTTGCTCATTTTTAAATGTTTGTAAAGTATTTTTATTTTTGCAAAACTTATATACTGATGCATATTTTTTTATAAAATATTTTTAAAAAAATATTAATTAGTTAAATATTTCGTTAGAAAGCATAATTCAAATGTTGAACAACTAAATATACTTGTTAGCTACATGTTAAAAGTATTAAATTTTGCTTTTAAACTTACTAAACTTTTGTTTTTAAACTTACTTAATTGAAATAAAATATTTTTTATTTTATCTCTCAGATTGATTAATCAAAAAGATACTGTAAAACACAATAGTTTAGTGCAATCATACTAAATAAAATTTAAGGTGCTTAAAATAACACTGATATATTTTGAAGCAAATTGTAACAGGTAAATAACAATTAGTGTTATATATTTTAAACACTAAGTTACGTAGCACAAGTAAATGTGATACAAACATTTAAGTTATTCTTGTGGTTAACTTTAGACTTAGAAATCTATGTCCTATATTACACGAATAAGAGATTCCTAAATTAAATAGCAAAAGATCACAAAGTAATTGTTTATAATTTTCAACTTACAACTGGAGGTTTCAGAAGTAAACTATGAAAATCTTCTAAACGTGGAGTTATTGCAGTTAAAACATCATTTATACCACATCTTAATCTCTCAGCATCCAAAGCAGTCATTTGCTCTGTTTCACTCATTTTAGAAGTCACTGAAAAGCAAGATGGTGCATTATCTGCTTGTAGGGGCTGATCACCAAGTGAGGTTGGTATTTGTTGAATTCCAGATTGCCTAATTGTATATAAAAAAATTAGAAAAGCATATACCAGGAAATTAAAAAAATCATTGCCAAAATGAAAGGTTGAATCCAACAAACAAAAAATCAATTCAGTATGGAATATACAGTCAGGGGTCTATCAGGGTTTTTTTGAGAGGTACCTATTTTGTGAAAATTCAGACATAATTTCTGAAAATTCAAAAATATATTAAAAATTTAACACAAAAACATGGCAAAGTAAGAAAATATTTTCAAAAAAATAAAAATCACTTATGACTGATAAGTTTCTATATGTGTTTCCTCATATATTCAAAAATAATGTTGCTAATGTAAAATTTTGGGCATAAAATTTTTTCCAAATTTAGAACTTACTTAATCAAAAGTATTTTATTAATTAAAGTATCAGAACTTGCTTATAAAAGTACCACTGCTTTTCCTAAAGTTGAATTTGTGAAGGTACCACTAATAGGTAGTAAATTTGCCCTAGACAGACTCCTGACAGTGACGAAGCCAGAAAATTTTCAAGGGGGTAGGGGTTAAAATTTAAAGTTTCAATTTCTTAATAAATCAATACAATTTCTTAATTTAGTAAAATAATCAGTAGAATAACAGCAAAAATTTCAACTAAAAAATTACTTTTAAATGATCACTAGAAGTTCCCTGATCATTTATTGATATAAAGAATCTATTATCAACCACAATTTCGATTATGGACAGAAGAATTTGCTTGATTTAAGTGGAACTTTGCGTTTAATAACAATAGTCATATCATGATAGATATCCCTGTGGCAGAATTTTTTCGAACTATATGCAACAAAACTCTCAAGCACTAATATCATTCTGCAAGATACATTTAATAATAACAAACATATATGTTACTAATTTAAAATAACAAAAGCACTGTGTTTTCCAAAAACAAAACTATAAAATATTTTTTTAATTGAGCATGCAATTACTTTTTATTCTAATATTATGGGTGATATTCCAGCATTTTGCTTGGGGGGGGGAGCGCACAAGTTATTTCCTTCCTCGTATTTCGTAATTATCACAATAAAAAAAATTATTAAAAATCATGAAATCCATCCAAAGTAGTAATTGCCAAAAAAAAAGATAGACAATGAAATCACAAGAATCGATTCTTCAAATGCGTGCTTTGTTTTGAGATTAGGTTGTTGTAATAAATAATATCGTATGAAAAATATCGGATTTAAAAATTATCAATAGAAATTAATACCAATAGCTACCAATAATTTGATAGAATTATTGCCTTAAAAAGTAAATACTCAAACGCAGGATTCGAATTTTCCATATTGTTTGAAATATATCGGGATATATACAAAACCGGGTGCAAATCAATATCAATAACTGCCGGTAATATAGATTTAAATATTACCTGCAAATTTCTGTAGAAAAGAAAATTAAATTTTTTTGCGGGAAAATTTTTAATTTAATTAATTAATTTTGCGGGAAAATTAAAATTTTTCTGACATTCTAAACGTTCTGCGACAATGTCGCCGTGTCACTGCAATTCTGCCATGAGGATAGCTAGAAGTAAAATTTATCTTCTAAAGGAATTTATGAATCAAAATTTCTACTACTTCCCGGCTAGAGTGCTTAAAAGTTCAACGGCAGCTCTTACCTGATGATTTAAACCTGATGATTCAAATTTCAATCATTTTCTAACAATAACGGAAAATTTCGATTCCTATTGTGTGCCTGATTTGCCCTAGCATTTCGACCATTGTATGGGATACAGCATTCTGTATGGGGTGCAAATTTTCCCCAAAAGCCTAAGTGATTAGGTTATTTTAACTTTGCTGTAGATGCTAAAATAGCATTATGCTATACGTCATGAGCCAGTTAAGATTGATGTGAAGTAAACTTCTAGCAATCTAAGTTTATGTATATAAAATAGAGTGAATCTTAAAAGAACATGTCAATTTATTTACAAATGCATAAAATTCTAGTTGTTTTATTTTTAATAATTTAAAGTGAAATAAAAGTATGCTATAAAAGTTAAGGGCTTCTTAAAAAGTTAAGGAAAAATCTTTCTTTACATGTTGAAATATATAAATTTTTTTCAAGTATTCTACAAAGCGATCATCAAATAAATTATATGTCTAATGTTTAACAAATATTTTTAAACTTTTAATAAATTTAGGTGTTAATTTTCAAATTGTTTGAAAATAATGAAATATTTCATCAATAATCATTATGAGCGAAAATCAAAGATATAAAAGTAATATTTATCCACACAATTAGTATATTTTACAATAAACAATGAAATCAAAGAGTGAAAACCAAAATAATTAAAATATTATACCTACCCTTGTTTCTTAAAAGAAAGCAACGACAAAAGAACTGGAATACCATTGACAACAGCATGTTCTTTTCTTGTATCTTTTAACATATGATTTAGAAGATCAGTAATAACTTCAACTCTAGAATATTTAATTTCATATATTAATACTTTCATTATATATTAATTTCATTTCATATATTAATACTACTACAATAATAAACTATATTTCTGATTATAATCCTTCAGATTAATATCAGTAATTTAAAAATGAACAATTACTAGGGCCCTGTACATTATTTGGAACTTTATTTTAAATTATGCAACAAGGATATTGCAGTTTACTAAATTTAATTTTTACAACAGTTATAATTTAATTACAATAAAATACAGCTTTTTTACAGCCTACAGAATTAGACAACATGAAGAGCACTTGCTTTGCTTTTCTTAAGTTCTAGAAATCTCTCTGAGACTACCTCTGAATTTCAGACTCTGATGTATTAGGTTAAGGTTATAAGGCTACATTCTGAAAATGTTTGCTTACAGTCACTTAACAAATCGACTTATTTAAAACTGAAACGCTATCATTAAATCATACATTTAGTGATAAGCTCCTGCCTCACTCTTACCCACATTACATAGTCCTGATTACTTGCAAAGCCTTTAATAGTAATTTTTGTAGCTGTTTATTGCTCAAACATTTATTTAAAAAATGGACAAAGCAACCCAATTAATGGCGCTTAAAAAATTTTCAGCATTCAAAATACCTTTAAAAAAGACCCATAAAAACTAATATTTAAAGTAAATATCTAAATAACTATACAAATTTCTAAAAAAGGAAAAAAATTTAAGCTAATTATGGAAAAAGAAATTTTTTTTTAGTTTAAGCATTTCTTGTTGATTTATGATTATTCTTGTTGATTTATGAAGACTGATTTATGTTGTCGACCTCATGACTTTGCATTTTTATAACACGTATAATTATGATGCTTTTGCTTAATAATAAAGGGCAAAAACTCTATCATCAGCATGGGTTATTAAAAAATTACAATAAAAATAAACAATAGCTCGAAGCTATGCAAATAAAAACTTTAAAGAAAAAAATAAACTATCAAAGTTGAGAAAAACTTTATATATTTCATAACAATGCTTACGATTCAATTGCTTCTAATAATGGATTAGGATCAGCTTTTTCTTGCAGCAGTGACATGTGTTCCCTAGACATTTTTATTATATCACAAAGAGAATGAGAGGCGTTACAGTTAAATTCTTCATCATATTCAAGATCAATTCTGCTAACAAGCTGCTGAATGAGTTTTTGTTCATTGAGCCACTGTATAAGAAAGATATCTTTATTTATAAAATGTATAAAAAAATAATACAAAATAAATATAAAAAAATCTACTTTTAACTACTTAAAAATTAAATCTTGATCAAATATTATGAAATAAAAAGTTTTTTGCTGTAAAAATAGTGTTTTCTTATTTTTACCTTTCATTTTTCATCAAAATATGTGATAAAGCTAATTTTTGATCAACAAAAGACAGTATGATGTCCTCTATGAGTGCAGTGATGAATTCCAATTTGTAATAAAATATAAACTCAGTCACTGTGACATTTTTAAATTTGGTTAAAATAAAATTAAATCAAATGTGGTTTTACAACCAGACACGAATTTAGAATTGAGGCAATTTTGTCCAAAGTCACATGGCTTTTAAAATCCTGATTTTTCAATACTATGACACTCGAATTTTGAATCGCGTCTTAAATATGTGATTTTTTTCAGTAGTTGTTGCTATTGATTTCAACACTGTTATTTTGGTTACTTAGCCTCATTATTTTTATTACAATCTTATTATGACAACCTGGCAGCAAGATTAATTTTTTTTGAACAAGATTATGAAGATGACTATTTAAACTTTGAACCTGAAGAAAACAAATATGTGCCATGGCACAGAATTTTCCAGGAAATTACATTATGATAGAAATAAACAAGAAGCACACAGCAAGCTTGATTTTATAATGTGAACAATACAATAAAACAAGATACACTAAATAATGTAAGCAAGTAATGATAACAAAACATCTCAGAATTTTATACAAAATGTGTTTGCTTCATGAACCAATTTACAATGCGCTGGACATTTTGCATATCATTAAAATGAAGAAATAGTAACAAGCTTAGTCGAAAAATTCCTTCTCCTTAACTAAAACGCAAAAAGTTATACGAAGGACGTATTACTCCTTCAAAAAAAAAAAAAAATTCAACCTTGAGTTTTCTTTTTACATTGTGGCAAGTTAGGAAAAAGCATAATTAATAAGAGGGAAGATCCAACTGATCAGTCAAAATATTTCCATCAGATATGAGTCTCAGCTTGGAATAGCAAAAACTGGAGCCAAAATGCGTAAAAATTGGCAGTTATGCAGATATTTCTTAAAGCCTACTCAGTTTTACTTAAATCTTACTATAAACAACTTTAAGTTTTTAAAAATAAATCAAGTATAATCAAATTTATTCTTCAAATCTTCTTTCCTTCATATCTTAAAATAAATAAAAAAGATATAATCCTCATGCTTATAATATATATTATTTAGATATTTTTTTAAACAGCTACATCATTATTTTAACAAATAATAATTATATTTGGTAAATAATCTGTATATTACCTTAATTATTGTAGTCCTCATGTCATTGTTTTCTATAGCTATAAAACGGAGTAATAGATCCATTATTGCAGAAGTGTTCAAATGCTTTAGCATAAGATTTACAAAGTCTGTATCTTTAAGATAATTGAATATCTGGAAACAAAAATAGTAGTAAAAATTTTATTTAGAATTGGAGAAAATGAACTTTAAAAATATATAAAACTGACAAACAAAAATATTAAAAAAAAGATATTTGTTATTACAGATCATTGCCATGTAAAATTCAAGCTAAAAATTTGTTCAACATATGCTAAAAACTTGGTAAAAACTTATAAAACTATTTTCAACTACATGACCCTCTGGCATGGGCATTTCTGATTCCAAACAATGAATTATTATTCAAAATCTTCTTGAATAATGAATAAAGATTTATTCATTAGTCAGAAATATTTTGAATAAAGAATAAATCACTCATTATTTTCAAGTATTATTCTTTATTCATTAGTCAAGAATAAGTGAATAACTCAATGATCAACAGAAATAGACATGGAGTACTCTAATTGATTACGGTTGTGACAACAACTACTAATAAAAAGTACATAGTAATATACTACTTGTAATAATTTTTATAATTTACAAGTGATGATTTGAGATAAAAAGTGATTATGATTACCTGTAATCACAACAAGACACAATAACTGGTATATGGATCCAAATATTTTATTATAAGAAATCAATGTAATCAATATGTACGATTATAAGCAGACATTTTTACTCACAATCCTAATCTAATGATTACAAGTACTCTCAAATATGAATAAGTGTAAAAATAGTTACTGCACGAAAAGATAAATATGTTGTACATACATGCACACTTACACAACAAGCATTGTATATAAATGCTTGCATGAATAAGTAAAAAAAGTTATATGTTTACATACATTGTTATTAGATAGTATATCCGCACTTACGTATGTTGTATGTACAGTCCGCAAAAAAAAAAAAAGATATCACCCTGAATAACTTTTGTTCTAATGATCGGATTTTCACGATCTGAGTGTCAATCTTAATGGTTCCTGGGGGTGACCTCAAATATGCTAATTAATTAGTGCTAACTATTAATTAAGTTACGAAATCAGACACAAAAACGTACTTTCTCTGAATAAACATGTATTTTTTTTTACATATTTGGAATCTAGACACTTGAATTAGGGGGGGTAGACAAAATTTTAAAACAATTGGGTCGTAAATTGGGTTGCAATAAAGGTTTATATATTTGGCGATAGTCCAGAAAACCGCCAAAAAAAGTCGCCTGCGCAAATAAATATTTTAAGATAACCC